GGCAGCTCCAGCAGCTCTCCTCTCCAGCCAAGAACAGGGAGTCACTCTGCAAGGTTGGCCTCAGAGCCGGCTTGGAGCACCAGCCGCATTCCAGATCCATCCCAACCCCATCACTGCATAGGGAAACGCCTCGATTCCCACTAAGTTGTTGTTCCTGTTTATACAGATCCTACATTTTCACGGTACAAGACAAATGGTCCCTCTAATGCAGCGATTCCTTCAGCCCTGTCCCTGGCACCTGCTCTTCATCCACACCACCCTTCACAGGAACAGAGAAGTGAAAGGGGTGGCTCTTATCGCCTGGTGTTATTGCCCTTGCAGCAGCCCTACAACCCAGCACCACAAAGAGCCACCAAAGTGGCACTGTAGATGCAAGGGCCTCAGGGGAAATACAAGCTCTGCGGCCCAGAGCCACCCACCAACTCGCGCTGCTGCCTCAGCTCGCCTGCTCTTGCGCCTGCTCTCACCCTCCCTGGCCCAGGCTGCTTCCCGGTGGTTCCCTTGCCAGGGCCCGGAGCTCCCTGCCTCCCACAGCCCTGGGCCGTCACCTCCTCCCACAGTGGGTTTAGCCCTGGGAACTTCAGCACCTCTGCAGGGGTTGCTCCAGCAACATCTACAAGTTGCCTTCAGGCAAGCAGTGGAAAAATCTATCTGCTCTGGCACCCTTTTTCTTTCAACACCTGCCTTTTTTTCCTCTTTTTACGCAGTTAGTTTCCAGTTGCTATGGTTAACAAACTCCTAGTTGGCTGTGCAGGCACAAAAGCAAGTAGAACATTTACCAGACACTAGAGTATGCTCAAATTTCCCTATTTTTGAGGAAAGCATATTTGATCAGTTATTACTGAGGCCTCAATTTGTTAATACATAATTTCAAGACTTCACAGGAAGGCTGTTGTATAAAACTACGTATGGGAAATTGAATATCTTAGATAATTCCTGTGCCCTGCCATGAAGTGAAATATCATATGTTGACAGCAGCATTTCCCCAAGGGCATACAAAGATATGTCTTAAAATATATGAATATTGTTGTGAATATGCATTAAAAGCACTTGGAGAGAAAAAAATACAAATGCAGAAGCTTTTGCGTTAAGAATTTAGCTTAATATTAATTTTGAAATATGAAAATTTAGCTTTACATTGCAGCCTAGTAGGTGTAACAAGCATTTGAACATGCTGCCTCGGGGCCTTTGTAGTCCTTCGCAGACTGAGCTTTTTTCATAAGTAGAGATCTTTGATGTGGTGAAAGGAAGATGAAAGCCAGACAGGTATGAGTCAAAGGCTGAGAGTTCCCAGCCCTGGTAAGTCAGGTGCAGATATTGCTAAACCACCAACTTCTTTATTAGTTCTACACAAGTGCAACTGTATTTTCGTAAGAACATCTGCCTTGCTGTTCAAACTTGCATCCTTCTCTCCACATGGCCACCTCTGAACACTGCCAGGAGATCAAAACTGGAAGGGCTCTCCCACTCTTAACGAACACCAAATAAAAGTCATGCTCTCTCCGAAGGTGTAACTTTTTCCCCATTTGGTTACTCACAGCAGAACTTAAGACTATAATAGACCTTTTAAAAGGACATGACACCTACCTCATCGGATCACAGAAGCAGCATTTGCACTCTTGAGTTTTCTACCGGGCTACGCTAAGCACAGACACACTGTAGCAGAGATCCCTGCAGGAGCCATTTCACAGGAAGTGCCCAGTACTCACAGGCAGGGCGTCAGAAACCCTAAAAAGACTTTTAACAAAGCCTTTGGTTCCTGTGAAGGAAAGCGCAGAGGACACACTGCTTGTTCCCATGAACCGTTCTGTGGTTTCTCCTGCTGCCACGCTAGCATTCACTCACACCTTCCTCAGAGGGAAGGAGGCCTGACTCCAGACCTGAGGAACAGCTGAACAGAACACCAGTGGCTGCTTTCCCCCACTTCTCCTCACAGCTGTTGGCAGCTCACATGGATGAGGCACAGTATTCCTCACATGAAACTGGGTCCCCAAACAGGCACTGCTCCAGATGCTTACAAAGAGCAGCTCTAGGTCGTTAACCAAAGTATTCCCCGTAGTAGCAGTCAGCTACATTCTAAGCAAAGCTCTTAAAACTAGGGGGGAAAAAAGAGCAAAACTATTCTTACACTGTCAGACTACATTGTTGCCTGCTGTTAGATCTTACATATAAACCAAAGCATTTAATAGGCAGTTAGTGTTTAGACAGGGTTACTTGGTGCTCAGGCCTTAAAAATGGTAACAGCCTTTGTTGAAACGTATTATATGTAGTACACACAAGAATCCCAAGCCCACCCCTTTAATTGCCACAAGCTGCTGGCTCTGCCGGTCCACAACACTGCTTTGCCAGTATTGAACTGGACTTGCAACAACTCAGATACAACCAACACTTGCCAGGCTCTTGCCTGAACCTGTGCCTCAACACCCAAGTATTTACACAGAGCACTGTGCAGAGCTTCCCAAGCCTGAAATGTCAGGTAACACATTCACAAAGAACAGCACAGGCTTTACCTGAATTTCATCTTCACAATGTTCCCTGTCAAACCTACCTCTAGGCCTGATCCCCTAAACCCTGTTTTTAATTAGGGTTCAAGAGAGGAGTAATTTTGAGTAGCAGTGTTAAACTACTCTGACAGTTGCAAGTACCTACAGCCACGCTTGCCTGTTCAACAGCTTGGCTTGGCCCAACTCTAAGTCAGAGGCCTAACATTTAGAACTACTTAAGCTCCATTTCAGCCAGCTGCTGCACTGCAGCAAATTAGACTTTACTAATGCTATTCAATGAGCACTGAGCAACACAAGCTTTCAGAAGTGAGAAGGTTTGCTCCAGCACAAAGTTCTTAATGCCTTGGACTTTACAGTTATTATGCTCAGCTGTTGTGTAACATCCTCTGTTCTTACAGAAAACAGAAAATGAAAGTAAATGCACTATCTTCCTATATTAGGTACCACTGAAGAGGCAATTAAGTGAAAATGTTTCACTTAACAGAGGAAGATTTGCCAGTCCAGTGCAACTCATTTTGGTGAGTTTTCAGTGTTTTACTGCACCAAACATGATCTTACAGACTTTTAAACTTTCATGTTAGCTTTCTTACTTCTCAAATACCTAATTGGAAACATTCATTTCATGCAACCATACACCAAAAAAAAAAAATCTATTGCCCATTTGAATAGGCTTGAGAAGTTTTCCCTTAACAGTCTCTCTTAAGGGTTAGTGATTTGCAGACAGTGCATTTCATAACCATAACATCATTCCCTGGTTATCAGAGGTATGATTATACTTCTGAAAGTGCTGAACTCAGTGAAAGATGCTCTATTTTACTCTAGACCTTTTCTTCCCCACACAAAAAGGTGCTTTTAAAGCTAGCTAGAGGAATGTTTATTTCAAGATAGGAATAAAATGCAGTTCCAGTAAGAAAGCATCAGTATCCCTATTCCTCCCTGTAAATGGATTAGCAAGCCAACATAACCCTGCTTCAGCACATTTACCATCTTTGCAAGTGTTGCATCTCTTTGCTAACAGATTAACCTTCAATAGCTTGAGCAACAAATTATCTTGTGCTTAATCCAATTTCAGCTGAGATGAACAGCCCTAGCAGAAATTGCTGCCTAGTTTGCACCTACCACCACCCCAATCAACAGCATTTCAGAACCTAAAATAATTTTAAGTCAGGAAGAAAATGCCCAAGCCTCAAGCTTCAATTCCTGATAAGCAGTCTTGGCAACAGCACAGCCTAGTCAATGTGATGCCTTTAAATAGTGATAAAAATATGGGAAAACTATGAAGGCGACTTGCAGCTCTCCTCCTTTAGAGCACAGCTCCATGGCTGCCAACAAAATTCACTCACTCCAACCCCAGCACTCTTATTCCCTCAGCTGTTTAATGGCCAAACTAGACCACCATATACAAAGTGTTCAAGGAACATTTTCCAGAACATGAAAAGTCAGAAGTTGAAAATAAATCAGATGAACAGTTTTGGGTCAAAATTAAAGCCATTTTCATGTCTGTAAGAAGCTCAAGACATGGCTGCTCTAACTTCAAATTTTTACTCAGCATTTTTTCTCTTGCAAAGTACTTTGGGGAATTTACTATAAAAAATTCACCATAAATTTAATTGACAGCTATTCTACAGCTGGAATATCAGTTATTTTAAAGTATAAAGTCTGAAGATGATTACCTTATACAAGTTTTCTTCCCACCTTCATAATCTGCATATGCCTGTGAACTATTTCCTTAAATTTCCTTAAATAGGCCCACAGCATTCTGACTATAAATATGAAAATACATAAGCTGCTGTACTTTCCAGTTCAGTAATGTCTTAGGGTAGTAGTTTTTAATCAAAGGTAAAACTTACTGATAATGCAAGACAAACAGATTTTTAAAGTCATTTATTCATCTGAATATAAAAAGACAGAAGTTGCCTACGATATAGGACAAAGCTCTTGCTTCATGAGGAAACAAAATTTTCTTTACAAAGTGAAAAAATAAATACCCTTTTAGAGTAAGGTTTATATGCTAATGTGTCATAAAAAAGTAGAGCTTTAATATTTTGACAAAATGTCTGTGCAAAGAAACAGATGCATAAACACACATTACTGCTACATTAAGGCAATATGAATAGTCAGAAAATCTCAGTAAAGTGACAGTGTACTTTTCCAGCTTAGATTAAGCCAGTATTGCACCCAAACATGGTCCCCTAGTTCCCTCTGTATCCTGGAGATATACTAGGAAACCAGAATCCAAAATGCCCAAACATGGGGTGGAGAATAAAGAGATTTCAGCATAAAGAACCTATCCAGTAAAGAAGTAAATGCAAAGCATTTAAAACAAACCCTATTTTAGAAACCAATATTCAGTGATTGAAAAATCAGCCTCCAAAAATAAAGCCAACTCAGAGGGCAGCTGACTGCAGCACCCTAAACCACTGCAGGAGTTGGATGTGGGAAACCTGGGAATGGCTTCCCAGTTGTGAGGTGGGAATGAAGTCTCCCAGTGTCTCCCTGGGGTAGCACGACCAGAAAACTTTCCTAACCCACCCTCAACATTTAGAAATCAAACTTGTTCTACACTTTCAAAGCTATACTATAATCTTCTCAGAATTCTTTATTAAATGCAGCTGCTTGATGAAAGCCTTGTAACTTTAGTTTAAGAATCAATTTTTACAAGTTTACCCCCCTTTAAAACAGTTTACTAAAAGCAGAAACTATGAACCATATTAAACTGCTATTTGTAAAAGCTAGTTTTGCTATTAAAATAAACAGTGACTGTACTAAAAAGAATTTTAGAAGTGTAAAAGTAAATGCTGCATTGCTCTTGCTGGGTATATCAATATGCACACACCATATTTCTCCAGGTTTACTTAGCTTGTTGGCAACACTGCCATGCTACAAACTTACACACCATTCTCCTTTAAAGTAACATGAATTGTTTACAGATCTGCTCTCAAAAGCAGTCCCAAACCATCTTCCTGGGCATGCTGAAAAAGAATAGTTATGCTCAGAGATGTAGCATTTTTGCTCTTGATTGCAGATTGGTGATTGCTGTCTTCACAATCAATGGTTGCAATTCAAATTAGTGCAGTTTAGAAAGTCCATGATGAGTTTAAAGTGTGTACGGAGATCATATCACTGTCAAATTGAGCAGACTGGTATGGGTTGGCAAGTACACATGCTGGACATGCTCTACACGAGATCTGCAAACAGGACATGACTGGAAAGGAAAATACATTAGGAAATTAGTTTGCTTCATATCTATATAACCACTACTTTGACTATGGATTATTGGAAGCTTCATTACATTTACACTGTAATACTAATCCTTACTTTCACCACAATTTCACATTTATAAGCATAGTTAAGACTTGCTTTTCAATGTCACTATCTAAATAGAATATTCTTTGGAATTACAGCTTACCACAAGACTTTAAAATCAGTTTTACAAGAATATAATTGTAAACATGATTCCAGGCTTTTTTTTTTTTCGTAAAAACTCAAAACTTGCACAAATTTGCTAACTGACACATCTTAATGAATTGCAATTACCTGCAGTTGGGCAGCACAGGTCTTGCAGCAGACTGTGTGGCCACAGGGACAAAAGGTTGAATTTATTTCTTCTTCACAACACACCATACAAAGCATGGACTCTTTAAGCTTCCGTAACTTCTCCTGTAGGGCTTTTGTTTGCTGGCAGCTGAGACCCTCACAGTTGTCACAGTTCATACTACTTTCTGAAGACTTAAGGGGAGAACTTGGTGGGGTTTGGTCACTTCTTGAAACAAGATCTACAATGCCTGCATTATAAAGAGCTCGCCTTGCATGATCATAAACTTCTTTTGATGTTCTTTTGATGTCAAAGACGTATTTTTTTCCAAGATTAATGTTTTCATTCAGAAACAGAGATGCTAGGTGACCCTTTAGATCTCGACTATACTGCATCATGACAGCACTAGTGACAGTGTCACACCTGTAAAAGATAAATGCAAGCATGGTTATTTAACACTAAAGTCACTCCTACAGTAATTTTTTCACAAACTTAGTGTAATAAAACTGACATATATCAACACAGCAAAAAATAGCCATTTGAGATACTTAAGCAGCAAAACATTTGTTATAGATTTACTCTGTTAATAGACTTTACTGTAACACCTCTTTAGACAGGCTCTCAAAATGCTTTAGCTTAGTCTCAAATAATGTCTTTAACCAAACTTCCATTAAGTACTCCCTATATTAGGGCTGTATCATCCCAAGGGAATCAGTGAGAATGCAGTTTAGACTACTAAGCAACTCTGAGATACTTGGTACTTCAGGTAGCCTAGGCATGTTTATCACATTTGATACTGCTAAACCTGCAAAAGCTTAAGGAAGATGTACCACTTCTAGAGGCAATGTAGAAAAGGGAGCATGAACAGAACAAGAGGGCTAAGGCCTAGCAAAGCATAACATCCAAGAACAAAGCTTATGGATCAGTGCTATTGCTTAGCTCAAGCTCTGCTTAAAATCAAAAAGTGAAAAGGACAGAAGAAATCAGAAGCAGAGGCAAAGATCAAGAAGTTAGGATTAGAAGTTATTTAATACTTTGGATCATCTGGAAACAAAACAAGTGCAAAATAGCTTGGAATTACACAGCAGAACAAGTAATACTTAACAGAACTTAAGCTCACAGAATAAGCGGAGTATTTATGATGACCCACAGTGGTTAGAAAAGTTAGTAGAATTATACTAATTGCTGTAATTGTATTAAAATCCTATTTTTATAGTCTTAAAGTTTAACAAAGTGGTCTTTACTTAGTATATGTACTTCCCTATCCTGAAGACAAATTTTTCTGTTGCAAAGTATTAACTGAACTTGATATGTAGCAGTTAATTTCAAGATAAAACACCAATGTATCAAGCAGCAAGTTCTTCTGAACAGTGCTGAACCTTGCAATGGGATGAGAAGGGGTTTAAAAAAAACAGTCCTCAGGGAATGAATATGGCACCTGTGCTGAGTAACAAAGTACGGGTGAACACAGGAATCAGCTTCTGTGGAGAAAAAGTCCTGGGCATGGGAACAAGAACAAAGTAGGGCTTCAAATAAATGGGATTGGAAGGTGATGCACACAGAACTGTTGATAACAGGAGGAGCCAAGGATAAACAAGGAGTTCCTACATATTTTACAAGCTTCATGAACTTTCTTCTGCTTCTCTGCTCTCATCCTTCCTTACGGAGAGAGACAAAAATGTATATATTGTCTATAAAGTGTCAGAGAAAGTGGTAAAGTTTATACTCTGAAGTACTGTTTATGGTAGTAGGCTGCAGAAAATGCTCGTCTTGCTCTCCCCACCGTGCAAAACAAAGTAGCAAGAACCTACTCAGCTGCTGGACTTAAAAGGAAGGTAGAAGTAACAGGCACAATGCCATTTTGCAGAGAATTTCTGAAGTTCAGTCTAAAGTACTGCCTGCTGTACTTAAATACTACTAAAGAGCAGCAGCAGTTTACTTCCTGTAAAATGCATGTGTCTCTGTAATTGCTCTGTAAAGTCCACTTGCTGCTCTTGTGCTGATCATCTTAAACAGAAGAACTACGCTATTACCAGACTCCTTGGTAACAGTCAGATAGACATTCTTCCCAGACTGAGTTGCCATTTGAACAACAGGATAGGCAATCCTAAAAAAAGCAAAACAATGCAAGGTTATTTTGCACTTAAAAATAAATGCATTTTCCATCATCTACTACACAGCAGTTTTACCAGAAATTACAAAGACCTCTAATCTAAAACAATAGGTTGAAGACATTGTCTTAAAATATATATATAAAACATGAATATTTAAAACACCAATTAAGGAAGTAGTATCCTCAGACCCCATATTCTGATAGTTCCTTCCACAGAAAGGTTTCATTTATTCATGTAAGAGCTAGAAGCATTGTCAATGTTTCTAAAGAATGTAAGATAAAAATTGTTCCAAAACACATACCTGTTGATAGGACTAAAATCATCTTTACAGATGGAGATGCCTTCAGGTCCAACACCAATAAGGAGTTTTTGTCCTTCACTGTCTCTTACTGAGTGCCACTCTACCCCATAGTTCTCCAGGGCTGACACAATCTGAAGAATCTGGTATTCAGCAGAAGCTTGACTTAGACCTTCTAGTTCCTTGTGCTTTGCAATGATACTGTTGATAAGATAAGGATAGGTAAATAACTCAAGCACCACTGTTGTCTGCACTTTATGTGACCTAAGCACATTTTAAAACATTCCTGACCTAACTTGGCTATGCATTTCCAGTCATGGAAAGAAAACTAGCAAAACATCCTGAGAAAGTTTGAGTGTTAATACTGTGCATCTGCTTAGTAATTACAAAAACTACATGAAATCAAAGCTGGCTACCACTCCCCAATATTTACCTGAACAGCCACAAATTTGTAACTAAAAAGAACCTACTACTGACATTCAGAAAGAGAGCTATAAAGATGCTTAGGAAAACCTGCCTATTTCTCATTGTGAGGATACTAAGCCAAATAAATTCTTGCTCTTCACAAATACAGGTCTAAGATACACTTGCCATTTGATTACATACTAAATGCCAACACCACATTATCTCTGCTGCAAATATTTAGATTCTTCTACTTCTCAAGTACTAATTCAACAATTTTTGCCTCAAAAAAGAAATATTCATATCTGAACTTAAAATGAACTAAAAATCACAAAGCATTTTGGCTATATAGTTTCAGAGATCAAAGTGTAAGATCTTTCCTTTTTCACAACAATTGCTATGCTATCAGCAATTTATATGAAAATTTAAAACTACTGGCTTGCAAAAATGCTGTTATATCATTGCACCCTTTTTACCTCTCCAAAATGGTAGTGGTGAGCTCTTTTGCACACAACTCTTCATAACTGTACTTGGCAGTGTTCTGGTTATAATCTCCAAACTTCATCTGTGCCAGCAATGCACTGAGTTCAATTGCATGGTCTGAAGAACACTGAAGATTACCAGCCAGAAGATCTTCTTTTATATGTAAGAAAAACATATGCCTGCAACAGAATCAGATGTTTGCTTACTCAAGATGTTAAAATGGCAGCCTTTAGTTTAGTAACCAAAACTCTGCAATGAATAATCCAAGTAGCGAAAGAGTCTAACATAAGAGAAAAAGGGTCTCCATCTTTACTAATTTTAAAACGATGCAATTGAAGATAGCATCTAAATGCACTATTTAAGATAAATATTTAAGAGCCTATACAATTCATCATGAGAGACTGCTTCTAGAAAGAGCTGAAATAGCTGTGCTGCCACCTTCAAAGGGGAGATGGTACTTTTGCCAGCAACATGATCAGCAAAAAAACTTGAAACACGTGAAAAGGCACTGTGGTATAAAATACAAGAATATTTATTTCTGCAAGAGTGTTTATCAGACCATCTGCTATTTTAGGCTCAACAACTTTGTATCACTTGGGATCAAGGCAGACTTGCCAATTAGCTGAAAAAATGTGAAGTTACTCTTAAGAGATTTGTCTTATTTAGACAAAAAGCTAAGTTTTTCCACAAACACCTTGCTGATTCCCTCATAGCCTATCTTAACTTGTGTAAATTCACCCTTATATTCCCTAAAGGGAATTATGTAATATATAAACTAAATTATAATGTTTTTCATCATTTGTTCTTAAGATTCAAGATATGCATGGAAAACAGATGCAGAGGCAATGTATATCACTGGGAAACAATCTTTCAATAAATCAAGCATATTTGCATTTTACTTAAATTTTGAAAAAGCATGTTGAATCACTCCTCTCTGGAGGTTAAAGAAGCTGGCATGGGATTAGCTTTCATTCCAGCAGCAAATCTGGATAATATCTTATGCACCCCAATATTAAGCTTCTACAATTCCTGTGTATAAGCATATAGGCCATTTTTTTTAAGACTCTGAAACGCTACGACTTGCAGAACTGCTGGATTCTTTCTTAGTTCTACTACAGAAAATGCTGCAGCTGAGAAAAAGCATCCCAAATAAAAGATCACCTGATACCTAAAAGCTTCTGAAAGCAGAGATTTAATAAATACTATCATCCCATAAACTGCCCCACAGTTTGTTTCTTGCAGCAACAGTGACAGCTCCACAGTCCAACGCCTCATTTTGCAAGCAGTTTGAGACAAACTCAAGTCTGCAGTTGCCACACAAGTGCCCTAATTCAATCACTCACACCTATCCAGGCACTGATCTAAACTTCTGCAGTGCTAAGGGGAGGACTGGGGATTAGAACCTAGTTTTCCTGCTCTGTCCAGGACAGATTTAAGTGGTGGAAGGACAAGCACTTCAGAGAGTACATATGTCTCCACTGTTACCACATTATTCATTGTTTTTAGCTCCTCTTGGAGCATGTTCCAAGCCTCTCCTCCAATCCCTCTTTCCCACCCTGTTATTCAGTTTATGTGGCTTGTACCACAGGAAGGCATAGGTGGGGTCTCTTAAAGTGGATAGATGCTGTGCATCCCTTGCGATGCTCAGGCCCAAAGCCCTTTCCTCCCCCACAACAGTTCATAAACAAGTCATAATTAGACCAGGAATATTTAATGGCCTTGCAATTTTAAGTAGTCTAGAGAAAGGATATTACACATGATAGGAGTCCTGGACAAGATCCATCTCAAAGCAATTTCGGTTCATATCTGCCTCTCATAGAAAGCTTTTGAGCATTTTTGAAATGAAATATGAAACTCTTAAATATACTTCCTTGAACTAGTGCTAACATAAGAATTTTCACAGAGCAGAATCATACAAGTTGACCACAACTCATGGATCAAGAAATCCATGGGACAAACAAAACCTCTATCTGGACAGTATCACACACCTCTTGTCCACAGACTTCATCTAGCCTCTGTAGCACTTAGGAGTCAGACTTCAAGGAAAAACAGCAGTATTAATATTTTAATTTGCATGACTTAGTTTGAATGTATTTCAGCAGCTTTCTCTGAAGGCAGCTATTCCAAGGGCCACAACAATGGGTCAGGTCTGTAATAAAAATTACTTCATCTTGTATTTACCAGGATAAAGCATTATAGTTTTTGCATAGCTCACTGTGCAGCGGTGGAGGCAACAGCATAAAAACAACCCAGTTTTATTCCTTTCAGGCCTTCTCCTGCCCATCGTTAGCAGCATAATCACTGGCTAAATCTGCCTATATGAACAAACTTGAATAAATTCTTTTTTTAATATCACAACATTGAAATCACATTTGGAAATAGGTTTTCTGATCTTTAATACTCAAAACTCTAAGCAATGACAAATCCTTTAAAAACAAATCAAGCTTCCTTCATTTTCTAATGAACAGAAGACATCTGCAATATGCCTGGACAAGCTTTCCATTTTTTAAGCTTTCCCATTTTTGTTATTTATACTCAACTCCCATATGCCTGCTCTACTATGGAGCTTCAAGAATCCTGAGGAAATTATACTTTAATGATCATAAGCATTACGATTTATCCAAACCACAATATTGATCAGCATGCTTTACATTTAATTACAATTAGGTAAGAACATCAAAGCAAACAAGACAAATTTTAGTGACTCGTCTTGAACACAAACATGAAATCTGAACTGTTGCTCTCCTTGCAAATCAGAGAAAGAAATGGCTGGGTCCTATCTAATGAACACCACATGTTTACTAACATGATTCAGTCTACTCCAACTGAAAAAAAAATGGCAAAATCAAGTTTGCTTTGCAATTTTACAGAAAAGATTAGATACTGCTATTGCAGGTTACTAAAAAATCTGGTATGCTTATTAAATATTGATCTCAAAACTCAGTTAACTACTGAAAAAACTATGGTCAAAAGTAGCTATCTCCTTAATTCTAATCAATATTTCACAAAATAAAAAGCTATTTATGCACTTCTGATCTCCTGTTAAAGTCAAAAGAGGCTTTCAAGTAATTACAAGTATATACTAATTACACTTACACCACGTTAAAGCAACATCTGACAACTTTGTTCTCATCTGCTCACACCAATACTACACTTGTAACTGCACCTCCAGTTTGCCTACTTTATGCATATGACAGCACTGACTACACAGGAAAGAGTCCATCTCCTCCCCTTCCTGAGAAGACTGTACTGATATCAACAAGCAAACTGAAAAACCAAAGAGATTGCTCCTGCAAATATACTTACATTACAGAAGCAATTAAAGTGGAAGGAACATTTGTCATGTTCTATCACCTAAAAGCCAGTAGCAGCATAGGGGAACAGACAAACTTAAATAGTAAAGCATGACACCAGCTAGATTGCATTTAAAAAATGCAAACATTTACAAAAGCAAAAAGCTCTTGATCCTTAAAGGCAAAAGGACATGCTTTTATTGATGAATACTGTCAAGCAAAACAAAGGTTATTAGAAGGGTATCTGCCTCTAAGCTCTTATTTTTACCAAACCTAAGGGGCCCAACGAATCTGTGGACAACCTCTTCATAATACAGTAACTACCAGCAAGAACATGAGGTTTTTTTTTTTTCAGTTGCAACCTAACCACATCTTACTGAAATCACCTGATAGGGCTTAATGCAGTGTCCCTTCTGTATCCTTTCAAGGAATTTAGATAGGATGAAAAGAGTTGTTAAAGCTTCTCCTCTTCAGTGATCTGTGATACTCAGGTTCTACAGTAAAAGCTTACTAAGTTTTTCAGGGAATTATTTTAGTATTAGTATTTTATGTAAATAAGGAGCATTTATAAGTCACTCCAGTATTCTATTCACACATCATGCAACTTTCTTACTACTTTTGTCGAAGTTTTGCTTCAGTTTTAAATCTCCACAAAAACAAGTCTTCACAACCCAGAGCATTACTGATGGCAGATTGCTGTGGCTCACAGCCATCTGAACATCTGCTATAGACATGGAACAATTACAGGCAGCTCTAAGAACAAAGAGAACTTTCCACTGTTGGATGAAGTCACTTATACTTTCCCAAGGCCCAATAACTTGAGATTTGTACATGGCAGCATTAGTACAGAAGTGTTTCTCCTAATGTAAAGTACCATTTTCCCCCCCTCCATCCTTGTACAAGTTAAATATACCAGTATGTTGAAGGTTCCAACATTTCTTTTGAGTTCAGTATAGTGCATTCCATCTTATACAAGACTCAAAATAGCCTTTGTTTACTAGCAATGTCTCACAGTGAAAGCTGTTGAGATTGCACTATCTCAAAACAGTACCTAAAAATACTGATTAGAGGCTGAAATTTCCTACTCCTACTTCTAGGAAAACACTGCCCAGTGATGTTTTCCCTCTTCCTTTTCTAAGAAAGAAAACATTTTAGAATTGACAAACTCACATGTTTGATTAAATTAGTAATTTTATACCTATGTCTCATTTAATATTATCCTAGTATTTTCCACACAATTCAAGTTCTATTTGTACATTGAAACTGATAATTACTATACTTTAGCTACACACAAATGATTGAAACACTACAGGTGCTGTAGTGGAAACTGCAAGGAGCCATTTCTGCAGATGCTAGTCGAACCTGCAAATCCTCTTCTTTCCCTCTCTGCAAGAAGTTAGGCAGGCTATAAATACAGATTGCTACCTCCACCAAAAACTGTATCACTATTTCAGTGAGTAGCTGTAAAGACATTCTTGTAGGAAGCAACTACATTAAAACAATCCATTGCCAACTTCCTTGGGTGAAAACAAGTCTAGATAGGAAGGGCTATGTAATACATAAAGCATGCAAAATTCATCCCTTTCATAAAAGGGAAGGCAATTATCTTAGGATGATTAGGATGCAAAACACTACAAAATGCTGTAAGAGGAACAAAGCTTTTAGTGCAATCAATTAATGGAAAACTGGGAAAAGAGATAAGAGACTACATTCAAACTCTTAAGTTCTAAACTTGGCTGCCTGTTGACAATGTGGTAAAATGCAAGAAACATAGCCAAGAGAACACATCTTCTCACAAGAATATTAGTAGGGGTCTTAATAAACATCCCAAGGAACAGGGGATGTTACCTGTTTTTTGCTATATGACACTTTACAGCAAAGTTCTCTGCTTCTGCTAAGTAACATAACTATCTTCAAGGGATGAGGATTAAGAGGCATGATTGTAAAATGCACTGATGATCAAGATCTCATAGTAATAAGAGCATGCTTTCTCTTTTCAAAAAACAGAATGTAAGTCACTCAATATAAAAAGCAAAGCCACAGACACTTACTATTTATCTTTACCCTTACCTACTCTGAGAGCAGATAAAAGGTTAGCAACTGCACTTCAACTGTTTTACACAAATAGATCATAAACCTAACACTGGCATCTACTTTTTTTTTCTGAGTACCATGACATTGCAGGACGAAGCTAAGGCTGTAAAACAGAGGATGCTTTCCTTGTTAATCACTACAACTGAATAACACCACAAAAGCAATGTACTCTGTAATTAAAATACTTAAAACGCAAGTAGCATACCCTTTAACAGCTTCTAAGACACCATTACTTATCTCAAGGTTGGCAAAATTAAGCTATTTTAAACAATGTTTCATGAGATTATGTAACATGTTAGAATCTGACAGCTTTTATTAGGTTACCGTGGCAAAAGCACACAAATATTTGATTTTAAGTCATGCTACGCAAGACAACTGTTTCCCTTTTAAAGCTCATGAATAAGTTGGGGCAAATCCTGATACTGCTCAAGAAAAGATCCACTTTATGTGATCTCCAAAGTGTTGACTTTAAAAGCTTAAGTAAACCATTGCTCTTCTGGAAGATCATTTACTGCAGTTTGCCTTTTGTACAGATCAGCACTTTCATTGTCGAGGTGGATGCAAGTTTCAAGACTTCTGTGCTTCATGTTTTACAAAGAAACCTTTTAACAACAAAAGAACAACTTTCTGCCTCGAGACAGTTACAGACCAATCAGGAGTCGAATTTCTGCAGTGCCTGGGCCCTGTTCCAGTGCAGCAGTCGCTGATTTGTCAGACATGTCCAGTAGCAGTTAGTCAGAGGTTATTCCGAGTCAATGACCTGAAGTTACTTTGTTATCACTTAACCAGTAGGGAGGTGCGCAGCCTCACCTTGCAGCCAGCGAAACAAGCACCAAGACACACCCGGCTTTAATTAAAACAGTGTTTAACAAGTTGAGTATAAGCAAAATGATAGCTAAGGTCTTCCAGCCTCTTTGGACCACAGTTTTCTAGCTAGTTTTCTTTCCCCCAAACATCTTCAACAAATTCTGAAAAATCAAGTAGGATAATTATCAACTCCTCTTTAATTCAATGGCTCATGAAGTTTGGCACAACACCATCTGGTAACTTTAAATCAGCCTGATGAATAAACTGCTCATTACTTTTTAAACATCTGCTGCAGTACACAAAGAAACTCAGGGAACAAAACACTGAAAACAATCATGCCATAATCTGGAACTTACAATTTAGGTCTAGGAACAGCAGCTGTCCTTCCCAAGCCAATGCAAATTTCCTTTTTTAAATATAAAAGTTAGTCAAACTCTTTCTAAACAAGCACACTTCACCCTTCAGACTTACTGCTGAAGCTTAAAGTGACAGCAGATATGAAATATGAATACTTATTGTGCTCTGACACATTTTCATTCCATTGAAAAAAATTCTGAACTGCATCACCTGTGGCCAGATTCAGTACCAGAAAATTATAAAACAGTCATCAGGTTCCAAAGAACACTGGAGCAATTTAAAATGTAAAAGAAAGTGTAGTAAGCACAGGACTTCACACAATTCCTGCACTGGGCAAAACACCCAGTGAAGTTGGTTTGTTACCATAGTGGTCAAAGATGGTAAAAATCTGCTCTGCCTCAGAAGTCACTAGAAGGCTCTCTTGCATAAAAAAATTAAAAATACATGAGGTTGCTTTCTTTCACTGGACTGCATACTGCTAACAGAATTGGAGTTTAGTGTTCAGCAGACAAACTTTTTTTTTTTTTTTTTTACAAAATGTAAAAGCCTGAATATTAAAACGCTGCAAAACAAATTTAACTCAAGCATAAATTTAAGAGTAAGACACATCATCTCAGATTATCTCCCAGCTTCAGAATCAGCATGTAAAGATCCATGAGACTCTCAGCCTTCAGACATATGAAATTAGAATTCAGTCACTTAATACCCCTAGCATGATATACAAAACACCAGTTGTCAAGCTAACTGCTAAAAAGAAAGCAAGGCTACTATCACTATCTTTGTCATCCAGTACACTTTGTCAGTAAAGACAAGGAAAAAAGGTGTTAGCCATAACCATATAGCTAATCCTTGCATGATACAGCTATTGACTGACAGGTTTGACAAGCTTTTGTTTTCGCCCCCACCTCCAATCTCACATGGGTTTGTATGCAAACTAAGTATGAGAACACGACAAAATGTATTTATTCCTCATGTAAATCTAAGGAGAAAAATGGTAAGCCTACTCATCTAAACTCACTCTCAACACTCCAGAGATGAACATTAACCACAGGCATGATAGGATTCCTGATCTTTTACATGTGGACCACTAAAAGCACCTAAGCACAATTAAAAGATGGCAGCTAATGCAAACTGTTTACAGCTTGGACTCTTCTACTCAGCATGCAGGCTTTAGTATCATACTACTTAGTTGAAGCCTCAAGAGCATTTCTCTGGGCATAGCATTAAAATTAGTTCCTCCCCACCCCGAACAGAACTTTAATAGATCCTTCTGATGACTATGACTCAATTTAGAAATGTATATATTGAAAATACTAATTTTAGAAATTTTTTAAATAAATGTAACAAATCACCCCCCACACCTCTTAAAGTCATCTTTAGAATTATGAAGTACTTGCTTTTTTTCCTATATATGCAACCTCTGTCCCAGCTACAGAACATGCACT